AAGGGAGCAGTGAGCCCAGACCCTGGCTCAGGGCAGAGCAACAAACAGGTCTCCTAATTCTGGGGGGGAGGTGTGCAGGCCACGCGCTCCATTGTGTCCCAGCCCAGGGCTCTAACCGTGCCAGATTACTCTGCCACTGGATCAGTGGGGGTCTGGAGTGCAGCATGCTGACTCACTCATGGGCATGGTCTCAGCCACACTAACATTCGGCTATTGCTGGGCCACTTCCTTATTCCCTCCCAGCATATCTGGCTCAGTAGCAGGTCCTGTGGGTCGTTCAGGGCTGGAATCTCTTTCAGGGTTGGCAGCTACTCCGGGTCAAGGTCTGTCTGTGGTCCTGGCCAGTCCTTGGCTTTAAATCTGTAGCACTGTCCCAACTCAAGTCTTCCAGGAAAGGAATTTGGCCCCAACTAAGCACCCAAGCCTGCATTTTGTGCTTCCTGTCCCACCCCCGACTTCTGGCAAGATGTGGAAGGAGGCCTGCTCGATGGGTTCCACCCCTCTAAGTCAGTGAGCAGCCACTCTGCCTCACGATAGTGCACATTTTGAAATCTTGATTGAAAAGAACAAAGCTTGAGTAAATTTAAGTGTGATCTACAGCTATAGGGATGTCCGTGTGTAGTTGACTACACCATTAACTGATAACCCTGAGCTTATTGGTTAATCCTCTCGAATAAATGCATTCTCTCCCCCCCCCCATCCCCCTTCTCCCTTGCCTTCTCTGTATCAAGGGCAGCAAGCAGAAGGGGAGGCCGGATCCAGCTTCCCACGATCACCGGATTCAACAGCTGACTTGGAGCAGCCTCTGTCCACAGGAGGCCCAGGCTCGCTGTGGACAGAGACTGCTTTGTGGGATGCTGGAGCAGCCTCTGTCAGCGGGGGAGCTTGGCCTGCTGTAGACAGAGGTTGCTGTCATCCCACACTGCTGCCTCTGATACAGAGACAGCAGTCTGGGGATGGAAGGGGGCTCCCTGGGAGTGGGGCTAGGAGTGCACTGGCTACCGGGTTGCCCCTGGGGACTATCGAATAATTGTGTAGCCTCTTGAGTTTTGATGCAGTTACATGATTATTCAATTACTCAATATCTAACATCCCTAGCTGCAGAATATTCAGTAGCAGAACCGTAATATACTATAGTTAAAATGCCTTCCTTTTGACTGCAGTCTCTTGGTAGTGAATGGCAAGCAATCCAGTTTTGAGTGCACTAGCCTTGCCCAAATATTCATTCTAATAGTGTGAGTCAAATAGTATGGGAAATGTCAGAATCTTGTTGTGTGCATATGTAATTCCAGGAAATGAATTCCTGTTGGTGGATCATACCTTTTAATTTACTAGATTCTGTAGTGTGTGAGAAAAGGCAGCGAGAGGAAAACAAGCCAAAGTTCCCCTTCAGGTGTTCCATGACAGTACTTTGGTAATTAGATCTTTCTTCCCTTTCCACAGTGCCCATGTATCCCAAGTCAGCAGTAATATTCCTGCTACTGGAGAGTAAGTAACTCTTTTTTTAAATTTTGTTGCTGTCATTTGTTGTCTGCTTAAGATGTTTAAAATGTTATGTTATTCTCTTATTTTTCTGTAACAGCCTAGAACTGCCCAAAGAAATTTTCCCCAAATCTAATTGTGTATAGTGATCATAAGCCACTTCCACTCAAGTGCCTGGATATCCTTCTTTCCCACACCCACGGGATATTATATTTATGCAGGTCATGGAGATTTCAAGAAACATAACCTAACTGTAGTGTAAGTTGTATTATCTGCCTGACAGTCAGGTCACAAATTTGGCACATGAGTTTGTTCTTGCCAATCTATACTCACTACGGATGTTAAATTTAGTTTAATCAGATAATCGAATACTGTAGTCCCCCAGGGATGTTACACTTCAAAGGCAAAAGTGCTGCGGGGAGCACAGGGGACTCTGAGTCCCCAGCTGACCCCAGGCTGCATGTGGTGCTACTTCTTTGAAACACTGTATGCAGCCCCAGCTGGCTCCGGGCTGCACATGGCGCTGCCACTTTGAAGCACCCCCTCATCTTCCTTCCCCCTTTCTGCCTCTTTCTGATAGAGGCAACAAGGGGGGGGGGAGCAATTTGTCTACTAGCATGTCGACTATCAGATCAGTAAAATGCTTATCGGAGAGTCGACTAGTTGTTCGCATCCCTAATACTCATACGCACATTTAGCAGAGTTAAAACACTTTTTTGATATTGCTATTTTTTTGTTTAATCTTTACAGGGTTTACAAACTCAGATAATAAAGTGGTTAGCAACAAGTTTATAAACTCTTTGGTGACCTTATGGCAGGGCTGGACAAAATACAGCCCACGGACTACCCTGCTGGGACCCTCAGACACACAGCAGAGTGGTTTAAAACACAGTCCCTGCAGCTCTCTGCTCTGATTTCAGTCTCATACAAGAATCAAACAGGATTCATTTCACTGAAATCAATGAAGCTGCATCAGTGATAAGAGCATGAGATCAGAATTGGACACTTTTTTGTGTGTTCATATAAAATAGAATTGTTAGATATCAGTTATTTTAGTAATCGTCTGGCTGCACCAATTTTTAGCAGTTATATGTTTACCAAAATGCTATTCCCCTCCCCCCGAGGTAGGGCTGGCAGCATGTGAGCTACCAGCCCCACTCCCAGGGAATCCCCTGCCACCCTGAGCTGCTATTTCTGTGTCAGAGGCAGCAGCGCAGGGTGGCACCTGCCTGCCACCCTGCGGGATACAGAGGCAGCAGTATGGGAGTGGGGGAGCAGCAGCTCTCCGGGATCCGGCATGCATGAGGAGATGGCTTAAAAGCTGGTTCCTGATGGTCACCGGCTTCCCCCTCCTGCTATCTTGCAGCTTCTGATACAGAGGCAGCAAGGAGATGTGTGTGCTTGTAATCATTTGGATGATCAGCTAGGCTTATTGGTTAATCATTTAAACAATTATATGCTAACATCCCTAATATAAATCTGAGTAAAGTTTCTAATGAGTTGCCCTACTCTGTGATCATCTTATCTGTGAGAAGTTAGCTACTCATCATTCTCACAGGTGCTATCATTTTCATTGAATTTTGTTCCACCTGGTTACTGAAATGGCTGTTGGTCATTGTCAGATTTGACCCGTTTGCTTTTTGTTATTCAGACAGGTTGTACTATCCAGATATTGTATCTGACTGTCTTGTTCGTGGGAACTGATAGGCAGAGTATTGAATATCGGACTGGATTCCTTGAGTACATACCCAGCTCATGTAAAAAGATACTTTTCAGAGCAGCTATCTAAACCAAAAACGCCCCCCTACTTTGGGGAGTTATCATGAGTCATCTAGTGTGAAGTGCTGGTTGTTTTCCCCATGTTGTATTTCTTTCAACTCTGTCACTCTCTTCTTCAAAACTGGGAGTGAATTTAAATATAAACTTTAAAACAAAAAAAAATCCCCCAAAACAAAAAACTTTAGTGTGGGTTATCTAATCACTTCAGTCTTAAAGTCTGTGTTCAAAATAGTGTATATAAGCTCTTTGTTCTGTTAAATCAGGAGTCTACAGCTAGGCTCCTAAATAAAAATGGACTCATTTTCAGAAGTATTGAGCATCCATAGCAGCTATTGAAAGTAGTAGGGTCACTTTTTTTTTTTAGATGCCTCATATTTATGCTCCCTCAGCTGAAGAATGTGGCAGATGTCTATACAATTGTCTATATAATTTTTAGTATGTTTTTGACACTACTGCGGTTATTAAAAATTGTAATTTTTAAAAAAGAGAGGTTTTCTGATAAGTTTGTAAATTCAGTTGACATTTTTCGTCTTGACAGCTATTTAGAGAAGACGATCCGCTCAGCCGTGGAACAGCATATCTTCGATACTCATGGCTCGGGTGGGCAGAGTTCAGAAGACTCTGAGTCAGGAACGTCGTCTGCCTCTTCTAATGTGTCCTCCAAGCAGAGGAGGAGGCATCACAAAGAGCAGGATGAAGCTCAACGAAACAGAGACGTGTATGATCATTTCTTTTCCTTTAAAATTATATTTGGTTGATAGCCTCATAATCACAGCCATTAAATAGGCAAAGCTGTTGGTAGCTCCATTATTAAAGCATGGGTACAGTTCTGCAAATGACTGCTGCACCTGTGTCTCTCCATAGACTTTATTTGGAGCTGTGAATTGCAGAACAAGGACCTTATGGTAATTCATTGTGAAATGGGCTGAAAGGTGTTGGCCTAAAAATAGTGTACAGTTTTGGTTATAATTATATGTATCTATCTGTAAATAACACCATCCATGGAAATAAATCAATTCTTGCATGTTAATACTGGATAAAAATAATATTTTCAAATGCCTTTGTATAACAAAACAGCTGCAAAATTGGGATCAAATTAATGCATTGCAAGGATACATAATACTCCTAATGACAACACACAGATGTCACATAATACAGATGTCACCATTGTATTCTTAACAGAGGTGGTGTCCACACACAGATATAAGGATTTTTTTTTTTTTTACTGAAAGGGGAAAAATGTGACCTTTCCCCACTTTGAAAAAATAAAGTATTTTTCAGTGGGCAAGATGTTTGCACAGTCTAAGCTGTTGCAAAATACATATATGGAAATCTTCATCCTAAGAATATTAAGTATGAGTGCATGAGGGGAAATTTAAATATTTCTATTTTTGTAGGGCAGTAACTGAATACAACTGTATACTATGGCCAACATTTTTTGAAATTCAGGCCCTGAGTGTTTGTGTAATTAAGGGCCTCAAGTTAGGTTCTTAAATGCATGTTATAGGTACCTTTATAAAAATTGCATTATTTTTAGAGCTGCTGAGCACCCACAAATGTTACTAAATCTGCAGCCCTTATTATCTTTTTAAATCAAGTCACTTTTATATAGGAGCCTAACTTTAGACAGCCCGGCTCAAAAATTGGAATCCATGCTTCTTGACACAGGAATATAGATTCCAAAGCCAAAAAGGACCATTGTGCATAACACAGGCCAAAGAACATCCCCAAAATCATTGCTGGTGCATGTCTTATAGAAAAATCTTGATTTAAAAATTCAGTGCTGGAGAATGCACTATGATTTTTGGTAAAGATGGAATGTTAAAGTAGCTGAGAAATTTATCACAAAAAAATATTTCTGACTGGCTTTTCAGGTAAGCTGGTGTACATGTTTGGCAACATATGTAGCATTGCAGTTTTTTTCTGCACAGCTTCTTCATTGCACTGTGTATTTGAAACTGGTGCTTTCTAGTTTCTCTCTCTCTTCAGTACTGTATTGATCCTAATGTATTGATTCTAAAGCTGCAGATGTTGATTTTAAAGTAAATGAAAAGTCATAATTTAATGGCACTGTTTATTTGTCGTTTCATGGAGATAAATTGTCCTGGACTCTATTCTAGTAAATTGTGAAAATTGAAAATTTCATTTGAGACCTTTTTTATTTTGGCTGGCTTTTTTTAATCTCCTTGCTGTCTGGACACCAATCTAAAGCCACACAAAATGATGGCAGCATACAATTAAGATATTATTGCATAAATGCATGCATGGGCTTATATTTTGCATGCTGTACGATCTAGAGTCTAAGTGTAATGAGTTACATCTGAGTGGGTTAAAAATAATTGCACAAAGTTAAGTGGCTCTGATAGCCTTTACCTAGAGATGATTTAATTTTCTGTCATCTACCTTTTCCAGAGACAAAGCATAGGAATGACTTGTGACCTAGAAAATAACTAGAGCATTTTAAAAATTCAGAATACTTTCTCCTTCGTGAGGACTAACCAAGCTTCAAGATTAGATTCTCCTATCTTATTTACACCGTGCCACACTAGAATAACTTCACTAATGTTACTGAAAGCAGAATTTTGCTGTATAAAAGTGCTGTGCATGCTGACAGCCCATTACGCACCATTCCAGCCTTCCATCTCTGGAATGATAGATGTGCATTTAGGCAAAGGAAGCATAGAAGTTGGGAGGAAGGACATATGTATTGATATACAAATAGAAGAAATACTGTGAAGTGTGCAGTTTTGAAAGTCTTTTTGTTATTGCATATAGTGGCACTATGGAAGAACAACTGCAGGGAAAGGGAGCTAGCAAAAGATCTCCAGCATCCTAAGCAAGGAGGCAAAGATGAGCATAGATGACATTTCTGGAAAGCACACAGATCTAACTAGACAAAACAAGAATTTACCATAGTGTCTGATAAGGAACATTAAAGCAAGCTAATTTCCACACAGCACAACACATCATATAGTCCTCTAGCACAGTTATTGTTGATGAGGCATTTTCATTCTCATCCCATCGTCTGTTACTTGTCACTCCCCCCCCAAAAAACACACACACACAAAGGGGGGAGGGGGAAGAGAGCATGCCATGGAAATGCCTCATGTTTTACCCCAAGAACTTACCCAAATATTGCTTTCAATTTGTATTAGAAATTACTAGAAGTTGTTAGATGCTAAAAACAAAAAAACCCACAAACATTTGTCTCTGGGAAAGTTAACCCACACAACTTCATAAAAATAACTAGTACAACGAGGGGCTGATCCATTCTTTCCACTGACTTTGGTGAGAGTTGTGTCAGGTCCCAAGTGCTGATCACCATTTTTTCTCGTGATAGGTAGTGTACCTGTTTTTAACTCCTAGACAGGATTTAGGATGTCACTGCATGTATTGTTTCTCCTGTAATAGGATGAAATGTAGATGCTGGCTTTATGGGGTTTGAGACAATTCCAGAATAACACCATTCAGCATAATGCAGTTCTTTGCCATTGGCATAAATGCAATAGGACTGTGTTTATAAAAACAGTTTGTTGCAATGTAATTTTCCTTCCTCAGAGAGGTAATTAACAAAGAAAACATTCCTTCTGGATTTGGAAACCGTGAAGATTGTATCCTGACTCCTCAGGAAGTAGAAAAATTACAAGAAAACTACTCTGGGTATATTGGAGAAAGGAATAAACCAAAACGGCAAAAATCCAGCACCAAACTTTCTGAGCTTAACGACAACCAGGATAGCCCTGTGGTAAGCAAACATGCTGCACAATTTGCAGAGAGTATCAGTATCGGGTTGGGAAAGAGCATCCCACTCATAATCAAGCAAGATCATACGTTATGTAGTCATTTACACAGATATAATCACTTAGACTTGGCACAGATATAAACAGATAGGGCCACAAACAATCCAGCATTACACTTTCAACAAGTGCAGCATGTCTACAGAGGGGCAAAATTCACATCTAATGTAAGAACAGCCTTACTGGGTCAGACCAAAAGTCCACCTAGCCTAGTATCCTGTCTTCCAGTGCTAGGTGCCCCAGAGGGAATGAACAGAACAGGTGATCCATCCACTGTTGCCCATTCCCAGGACTGACAAACAGAGGATAGGAACACCATCCCTGGCCATCCTATCTAATAGCTGTTGATGGAACTATCCTTCATTAATGTATCTAGTTCTTTTTTTGAACCCTGTTATAATCTTAGCTGTCTCAACATCCTCTGTCAGGGAGTTCCACAGGTTGACAATACAGTCTGTGAAGAAGTACTTCCTTTTGTTTATTTTAAGCCTGCTGCCTATAAATTTCATTTGATGACCCTATTTCTTGTGTTATGTGAAGAAGTAAATAACTTTTCTGAATTTACTTTATCCACACCAGTCATGATTTTATAGACCTCTATCATACCTCCCCGTAGTTGTCTCTTTTACAACCTGAAAAGTCCCAGTCTTATTAATTTCTCCTTATATGGGAGTATATATGCCATACCCAAATCATTTTTGCTGCCCTTTTCTGAACCTTTTCCAATTCCTATATATCTATATCTATATAATTTTAAGATGAGGCAACCACATCTGTACACAGTATTCAAGATGTGGGTGTACCAAGGCTTTATATAGAAGCAATATGATATTTCCTATCTTACTATGTATCCCTTTCTTAATGATTCCCAACATTCTGTTTGCTTTTTGAATTGATAGCGTGGATACTTTCAGAGAACTACTCAGACTGACTCGAAGGTCTGTCTCTTGAGTAGTAACAGCTAATTTAGACCCCATTATATAGTTGGGATTGTTTTCCAATATGCATTACTTTGCATTTATCAACATTGATTTTCATCTGCCATTTTGTTGCCCAGTCATCTAGTTTTATGAGATTCTTTAGAAGCTCTTCATAGTCTGCTGTGGACTTTACATTCTTGAGTAATTTTGTATCCTCTGTGGTCACCATGCTGTTTACTCCTTTCTCAAGATCATTTTTGAATATGTTGAATAGGGTTGGTCCCAACACAAATCCCTGTGGGACGCCACTAGTTAACTCTCTCCATTCTGGAAAATGATGTTTTTATTCCTACCCTCTGTTTTGTATATTTTAACCAATTACCAGTCCATGAATGGACTTTCCCTCTTATTCCATGGCAACTTACTTTGCTTGAGAGCCTCTGGTGAGGGATCTTGTCAAAGGCTTTCTGGAAATCTAAGTATACCTGCCATATCCCTTTTCCACATGCTTGTTGACGCCCTCAAAGAATTCTAGTAAATTGACAAGGCAGGATTTCCCTTTATAGAAACCACGTTCTTTCTTTCCCAACAAATTATGTTCATCTATGCATCTGACAATTCTGTTCTTTACTATAGTTTGTCAGTTTGCCTGTATTGAAGTTAGACTTACCTGCCTGTAATTGCCAGAATCATGTGTGGAGCCCTTTTTAAAAAATGGGTGTCACACTAGCTATCCTTCAGTTGTTTGGTACAGAAGATGATTTGAAGGATAGGTTACAAATCATGTTGTAGCTCTCAGTTTCACATTTGAGTTTTTTCAGAACTCTTGGGTGAATGCCATTTGGTTCTGGTAACCTATTACTGCTTAGTGTATCTGTTTGTTTCAGAACCTCCTTTGACACCTCAATCTGGTAGCAATGTTAACATGTGTTTTAAACGTGTACCCTCTGAAATTTTCAGTGGATACATGTTTACATACCGGGAGGTGGAAGAGGTAGCTCTGCAAGAACCAATGCAAGTGGGGAGCGTGCAGTGGGGGCTACTACCCTGGGATAGTTTCCCAAACCTAAGCCATTCTTTTTTGGAGACAAATTTGAGGATGTCCTCAGCCATGAAGACTGATGTAAGGAATTCTTTTATTTTCTCTGCAATGACCTTATTATCCTTGAGTGCTCTCGATCATCCAGTGCCCACTAGTTGTTTAACAGGCTTCCTACGCCTGATGTACTTAACTTTTTTTGCTATTACTTTTTGTGGTTTTGGCTAGCTGGTCTTCAGATTCTTTTTTGGCCTTTCCTATTATTACATACTTCAATTGCCAGAGTTTATGCTCCTTTTTGTTTCCTTCCTAGGACTTAACTTGTGCTTTTTAAATGATGCCTTTTTGTGTCTTATTGCTTCTTTTACTTTATTTGTTTAACCACGGTGGCACTTTTTTGGTTTTCTTACTATGTTTTATCATTTTAAGTTTACATTTAAGTTTAGCCTCTATTATATAGTGTCTTGGAAAGTTTCCATGCAGTTTGCAGAGATTTCACACTTGGCACTGTGCTTTTTAATGTCATTTAAGGTGTTAAGAAACTTTCTCTGCCTAGATTAAATCTATTATTTTTATTATTATCTTCATCGTCGTCATTCTCAATCATCATCATGATTTTTATTTTTATAACCTATCTAATCTCCCTGAGTGTTTCATAGTCATCACCATCCTTGTCAAGAGGTCAGTAACATATCCCATCAGCTATATTCTTCTTATTAGAGCATGGAATTATTATCCCTAGATATTCTGTTACAGTTTGGTTCATTGAATATTTTTAACTTGATTTTTATGCTTCTTTTCACATATAGTTGCACTCGCCCTATCAGCATGGCTTGTTCTGTCCTCATATAGTTTGCACCCTGGTATTACAGTGTTGCATTGATTTATTTTAATTCCCCTAGGTTTTTGTGATGCTTATTGCATCAATATCCTCTTTCAGGACAAGGCACTTTAGTTCACCCATTTTACTATTCAGACTTCTAGCATATGTGTGTAACCACTTTAAAAACTTGTCACTTTTTGTTGTTTCCTGCCATTACCTGATGTGATTGAATGGGACTCTTTTTTTTTCCCCCTTCATTTTACTGTTTTTCATCAGGTCTTACCCATAATTTATCATCTTCCAACTTCTCCTACTTACTAGGACATAGAAAAACTCGATTAATAGACCCTCCTGTAAGGGATGGTCTGTCTGATCCATGTGCTCTTCTGCTCCCATTAGCCTTTCCTCAGCCCTGCTCTGACTTTTTTAATGTTAAGTGCCAGCAGTCACGTTCCGTTTTGGTTTAGGTGGAGCCCGTCCTTCCTGTATAGGCTCCCAGTTCCTAATATATCTAAATCCTTCCTCCCTACACCATCACCCCATTCACACATTGAAGCTCTGTAGTTCTGCCCGTCTGCAAGGCCCTGCACATGGAAGTGGAAGCATTTCAGAGAACACTGGACATCAGTCTCTTACCTAGCAGCCTAAATTTGGCCTCCAAAACCTTTCTCCTATCCTTTCCTAGGTCATTGGTATCTACATGCAGCATAGGTTTATCATGACTACCAGCTCCTCCCCACTATTGCAAATAAGTCTATTTCGATGTCTGAACAGATTTGCAACCTTTGTATCAGGCAGGAAAGTCACCATGTGGTTCTCCCTGTCACTGCAAATTCAGTTATGTCTCTAATAATCTAATCCCTCATTACTAATACCTGTCTTTTCCTAATAAATGGAGTTCCCTTCCTGGAGAGGTATCCTCAGTGAAAGAAGATACTACATCTTCTGGAAGGAAGGTCCCAATTATCGGATCGTTTCCCTCTGCTCCAGTTGAATATTCCTACTTCCCTGAGACTTTCACCCTCCTCAACAGCACCAAGGCTGTCTGACTGGAGGTGGGACCTTGACCCTCTTAGTATACACATAGCTGGCTTTGCTTTTAGTAAAGCAAAACAATATGGCTTCAAAAATAGAGTCGGGAATTGAAATATGTCTCCAACTGTGTAAGAGTTAAGTAGGGTTGAAACTGTTCAGCACCTCATACATTGGACCATCAGCTTGTAGAGTGTCCTTTTTTTAATTCTGTTCAGTAGTTTTCCATCACAGTGTATCTTACAGTGTACTGGGTTTGTATAGGTTGAACCTTCCTAATCTGGACTTTCCTAGTTCGGTAACACCCGTGGTCTGACATCATTGGCAACCCCAGGGGTAGGCTGGAGCCAGGAGCATTGCTGGACTAGGGAAGAACCAAGCCCCCTGGAGCTACAGAACCCATCACTGACCACGAGCAGCAGAGCCGCTGGAGCCAGTGGTTGGTGGTAGAGGGGTTGGCATTGTTCTCCCTTGGACTGGGCAAATTCTCTGGTTCAGGACCAGTCAGATCCCAAGAGTGCCAGATCAGGGAGATTTAACCTATAGCGAGTGCATGAGAAGGGCATTACCAGTGGGTCTATTTGGAGGTTGCCCTCTCTCCCAGGAGTGATGGGTTCAGGCTGCACAGTGCTTTGTTAGTCCTTTTGAATGAAAGGTGATCAATTCATAGATCAAAGTTTTTGGCTGCAGATATAACTGGCACATTTTCAATGTACTGCAAACAGCAAACTCAGTGGAATGACTCCACCTATAGAAGACATAGGTTTACACTGGGCTGCCTCTTGCTTTGAATCACAGCATGTGTGTGATTCCTGTTTGACCTTCCCAATAGAAGATTTGACCATAGTAACAATCCACAAAAATTACTGCAGACTTTTCCCTATAGGCAACACGGGCTCTAAATAATCTGTTAGCAAGTTAGAGCTTACAGTGTATTTCAACTTGATAAATACAAGCATGTAATGTTGTACGATACCAAGCACATCACAAACATTTAGCACCACTTGAGAAAAGATTAGGCCTTACAGCTCTGGAATATTTTCTCTGATCGGTGGTTGAATTCCAAAGTCTCCTATAGGTGAGTGCCCATTAAATGCGATGTTTGTTTTGAAGAAGTGCACTGTGTTCTGGAGGACAAGGGTTGCCCTGATCAGGCTGGGCCACCCATGGACAGGGGCTGCTCCGGTTTGTCAGAGCAGCTGCTGCTTATGGTGTGTCCCAGGGGTTAACTAAGTGGAGACTTGGCCGTAGCTGCTCCATAGCAGCTAACCCAGAGTGTGAAGGGCAAGTCAAAGAGAAATTCCGTTCAATTAGCTCTCCTCAGCAAAACCAAATGATAAACATTAGAACTTATACCCCTACTTTTCTTTAAATGGTCTAAAGTTCAAGATGGACCAGGCATAGAAGTGAGAACTGTTTGGATTTTAAAGAGAAAGGAGTTTCCACATCATGAATGCTTTGGGAATTCTGTTCTCTATGTTCATAGAGTATTGCGCAGGAATTGCACTCTGATGTGCCAGCAGAAGACTTTTTCTTTTATTTAATATAATTGGAGGCTGCCTTCAAGGAAGGAGACATACCATACATAAGAACTGAAAAATTGTATAAGCACGCATGACATGATCACATTGAATTCATCTAGTAATAATGGTGATTTTTGAAACAGGCTTCTGATTTCAAGGAAACTCCGTAGGAAAATAATTTTGGATACGCAGACATTCAAGTATATACAGAACTTGCTCACTTATGTTTGCTTTTCCTAGTCCCTCTCGTTTATCAGGTTTTATTGATACTATAAAGATGGGAGATATTCAGCACGGACTACAAATGAACTACATGTGTTGCTCACAGATATAGTGTATGTCTATGATGTCTAACCTTGAATGATGGCTTAAAAAATACTGATTTAATCAAATTAAAGATTAAATTATCACATTAGTTACACTTGCAAAATCCAACATTTGTACTCTGTGTGTTCATAATTTTCTATTTGCATATCCCATTTCTCTGTGCTGTACTCACATGTGGGTCTCTTTGTGCACCCATTGTCATGTCTGATGCTTTGTGCTCCTTTTAGAATTTAGCTTTGAAACTCATAAGAGATGTAAACAGACTTACGACGGGCTGGGATCGTATCACAGTGCAGCATCAGAAATCAAGCTGATGAAACTGAAGCAAGTCATTTATAAGCCTTTCTTTACACAAGCAAACAAGGATGGATAGGAATCCAGGCTCTTTTAATAATTTGTTGATCTTGAGATGAATGAGATTAATATTTTTTATAGCTGATCACCAGAGTAAACCTCAAAACAAGATTTTGTAATTGATTGTCCTGCATTAATATTGTTATAATCTACATAGCTGTCATTTTTCCTCCTTAGTCTCTTCCTCTTTCAAGAATGGGCACTTTAGGATTCTCCCCAAGAATAACACAAAACAGTGTTCATCATTAATATGTGTTTAGAGGCAACTCTCTTACTTTGGTTGCTTTAACCTTAAAAGCATAGGATTGGCTAGTGGAAGGTGTCCTGGATTTTGTTACCAACTCTTGTTAAAAGATTTGCCCTCTTCTTTTTCTTTTCCCCAGTCTATTAAAGGGGGACAATAATCCAAGTCTCACATAACTCTTCTTTATGAAACACTTTTTAAGATCTTCTGGTGAAAGACACTGTTTTAGTGCCAAGCTGTTGTTTTTATTGCAGGAAATTGACAACAAAGCATTCGTTTAAAATTGTAACTGTATGAAAGAGAAATTGTAACTGTATGAAAGAGAAACTAGTGAGTGTCCCTTTATTCTATGTAGAACTTGGTTTGGATACAGTGTTGTAATGGCCTCCAGCATTATTGTTCCTTTTATCTAGCTTATTGTCTTAATATTTGCTGTGTTACAGAACATGGAAAGCTTTAGCTCCACAAGGCCGATAGCCACAACAGGACCTGATGACATGGAGGTTTTGTCTGATGAAAGGTGACTTTTATGTCTTATGTTCTGCTCTCCAAGTGGTCATGTGTGATGTGATTGTTGTTCCTTAGGGTACATCCACACTGCAGCTGGGAGCATGTTTCCCAGAGCAAGCAGAAAGATACCCGCTAGCTCTGCTCAAGATGGCATGCTAAGATTAGCACAGTAGAGCAAGTAATGGGCAGTGGTGTGTACTCAGCCCCTACACCCATTACCATGGCTACCCTGCTAACGTTAGTATGCTAATTCAAGCAGGGCTAGAGTGTTTGTCTCCTAGCATTGGGAAATACACTTCCATCTGTTGTATAGACAGACCCTCAATAGTCCCTAAGGGTAATGTTCAGTCTGCTGCAGTGGAGCTACATGTCCAATGTGGGGCTCATGTGGTTATTGTAGAGAGGAGATTGGCTCTTCAGGAAAGCCTCTCTTGTATACCACAAAGGTGCTTGGCCCCCATGCCACATAAAACAGCTTAAGCTGTGGTGTCCAACATGCTGGCCACATGTGGCTATTTGGCTCATTGAGTGTGGCTAGTTGGCTTGACCATTTACTGTATTAAATAGCAGTAACAAGCACCCTCTAATTCCTTTTAGAAAATAAAGCATTGGCAATGGTAGCCAAAATACAGATAGTGGAATATACAGATGTCTGTGCATTCACTATGGGACAGTCTGGTTTATTTTTATGTTTCTTTTATTTTTTTAACAGCAAAGAAAATGAAAATGACGATGTGTTTTTCAGACACTCACAGGTTGGTATCTTAATATTTTTGAGATTTGGTTCTGGGCAAAACAAACAAATCAAAGAAAATAAAAGTTGTGAGATTATGTAATTAGCTGGCTGGGAAGGGAAATGCACCAATGAAAGTTGTAACTCAGCGGCAGCTCTCCTGACCTCCAAAATGGAATTTGCTTTGTTTTTCTCTTGGATACATAATTGAATAGTAAGCTTATGCTCCAATAAATCTGTTAGTCTATACGGTACCATAGGACTTTTTGTTGTTTATGCAGACCAGACTAACACAGCTACCCCTCTGATACTTGAATAATGAGGATCTAAAAACGTTCCTTTCCCTGTAACCCAGGGGTGGATGATAATTTTTTTTGGGGGGGGGAGCACTCCAAGGATTTGGTAAATGGTCAAGAGCAACACTTTTCTATGGAGGAGGTGCAGGATCTGGAACAGATGTTTGGTGTAGAAGGGAGCTTGGGGTACAGAAAAGGGTGAAGGAGGGGGTTGTGCCCTCAGGCAGGAGATTGGGATTCAGGGTCTGCGAGGGGTTTTGTGTGCAGGAGTGGATTTTCACCTGAGGAAGGGTGTGGGAGGGAGTTGTGACCTCAGGCAATGGATATGCAGAGCATATGGGTGGTGACCTAGGGCAGGGAGTTGGGAAGCAAGAGTACTTCCCTTGGGTGGTTCCCAGCCAGCAGCTGAACAAGGGCCTTGAAACGCTACCTGCCTGCTGCAGCCCCAGGCTGTTCAAAACATCTGGACGCTTCATCCATGTGCTGCTTGTTACCCTGTGCCTCTGAGATGGGGATTGACTTTGCATGCTGATCCCATTGGCAGCCAATAGGAGATGCGATGATTGGCCTGGGGGCAGGGGTAGCATGCAAAGACCCCCCCCCCGCCTCCGGCTGCCAGCCATTTTGAACAACTTCGGGATGCAGCAGGCAGAGAACCTGCCTCAGAGTCTCAGCAGGGTCATAGGCTGTGGGCCAGATCAGAAGACTTGGGCAGGTTGGATCCAGCCTATGGGCCATATCTTGCCTGCCCATGCTGTGACCCCTACCTACCAAAAAACAAGAGTCATTGAAGTCAGCATTTTGACACTGAGTTCCATGAAGATCCTAGTGAGCAGGGGCATGTGACAGATTAGCTCACCATGTACTGAAATTAACTTATCGCCTGTTTTTTTTTCTGAAATAATTTCCCCAGTTTTGGTGGATACAAGTTCATGATTGCTATCTGATGCAAGTTGATTTTCCCCTCTTCTTCTCTTGAGGATTGTGAACTGAGGAAGGGAGTTACTCATTTAGATAGCTTCTGTTTCTTCCCTATGTTAATCATTTTTTACTCTGGCGGCTTGCCTGTTAACTCTGTAAATATTCTAAGAAGTGTACACTGAGATGCCAGCTAGATCTGGTTTAATTGGAGTTATGACCTGAAAAGCATTCATACCATCTCTTTACCCCACATTTCTAAACCCGTGGCACTGTCTGCACTAGACTTTTTGTTTTCCCTTGAAGTTGCAGTACAGCTAGTGCAGCTCTCCTGGGACATGCCATAAAAGGAGCGCCAGCATAAACATTCTGCCAGCATTTTAATCACAGGTTCATTTACTGCTGCCCAGCAGGTTAAAATGCCACTGGAGACTGCAGATGCACCAGTGCTCCCTTAGTTACTACTGCACCAGTAGTAGAGGGAGATGAGAAAAAGACAAAACTATTGTGTACAAAACCTATCTGTATTCCACATCACGGGTTGGTGGTTGAGAGGCAGTTTGCAGCTGATATTTTAAAACCCACATTTGCGTTGTTTAAAAATAACTGCTGCTGTTTTGTTTACGTTATTAGGCCCTTTGATTTCCAGTAGTGCCACTCTCAAGAAGCAGGAAGCATAGGGAGACCACGATTGGCTCAGCATGGCACTGTCATGGCATGTTGCTGAGAGGTTATGCGAGCCATGTTTTGCTATGCAGGCTATTTTCAATGAGGGAGGTGGCACTGCCTTAACCAATCCATTTGTAGCTTTGCCACAAGCTCTCAACTTGATCAGAGTTGAGCCTGTGACTCAGAAGTGCTCATTCTAGTCCCCAGTGCCCCCTTGTCTCCAGGGAGGGAAATGATCTATGACTCCATACTTGCTCCACTAGCACATTTATGGGGTACAGGCTTCAACTGTGCCTTGCCCCCACTTCTCCATTCTATGTGGAAGAAGTCACGGGTCTGCGGAGGCGTCTGCCTCCAGGCTCCCACATGGCAACCTGCCCTATGGACAGCAACTTCCACAGGAATGTGCAAGAATGGACCCTTGGATTTCAAACTTGTTTGATTTTGTTTCCTTTTATTTAAAAATAGCTGGAATATCTCTTTATGAAGAATTTAAAATTCAGTAAGAAAAGTGTGATCTCCGGGTTAATGCTGCATTATATAGGAATTACAAGATCAAGAAAATATGCATTCCTTCAGGGTAGTTCTACATTCCTTATGCCTTGTAAGCCTGTTGCTTAGGAGAGCTTAGAAACATACCTTTTGTAACAAACAACTCATTCACAGTAAGTGAAAGACTTTTACTTATCCCGTCCACCCGCCCACCTCACCTCCATTATCAGGATTTTGAAGAAGATCTGTTCAGCTTCCAAGCAGAAAAAACTTGGGATTGGTTGTTGCTCATACAGATTTTGGTTAAGAGTGGACCCAGCGTGCATGCATGTAGAGCATGCATTCTGTATTTCTGGAGCTTTGGAATTTGCCAGAGCCCATCCTTTATTGCAGACACATGTTCCAGAATCTAAACTTTCATTTTAAAATAACAGCTTCTAGCATTTAGGGTTTCAAAGGAAACCTTTCCAGACACAAACGTAATGTAACCAGTGTAAATGGTGTCTACCTGGGTCTGCATGCAGCCTGAAAGAGTAGCGCTCAGAGGCTTATTAACTTGTACCCATTCATTTCCATATCGACTTTGAAATTTAATTATGTCAGTCTGTTTGTCAGCATATTAACTGCTGATTATATTGACATCCAGCTGATGTGTTCATTCCGAGAACGGCTTCCCAGATTTCTCCAGAATTTTAAAAAAGAGAAAGGGTGAGGAAGTTCTACTACACAAACCACTAGCTTCCACCTGCCAACATTTCTCATGCAGTTAGTGCAATTCCAGCACAAACTGTGCAGTACATTAAAAATGACAGGGATTGAGTAAAATAAATTGAATTTAATGGCATATGAGCTAATAGAGGGTTCCTATTGGGTGGTATTTCCCCCCCCCTCCCTTATGAGCTAATAGAGGGTTCCTATTGGGTGGTGGTATTTCCCCCTCTCCCCCCAGTTAAATCACTAAAATTCTTACAGTATTTTTTATATTTATGCAAATCTGCAACAGTTGCAGTGAGACTTGCATAATTCAGGGGCTAGCCACAGAATGGACTGAGTCTTGCACCTCTTGAAAGGTTCTTTGTTTCACAGATTTAATAATTTGTTAGTGGAAATGTTGAAGAGCTACATCCAGTTCTGGATTTTAGTAGAATACAGACTTCTGAACTCAGTTCTGACACACTTACAGTTCTTTCTAACATTTGAGATGTTACACGCACATAAGAATAGGAATCATGAGTTTCTCTGTTTAGATAGCACCTTGTACACTGACTGCAACCAAAACAATAATCATTGTTACCATAATTCCTCAGGCAGAGTTGAAATAAGCATAAAAGGCTACCTCTACTTTGTTGAGTTGCTTCATGGATATCTATATATCATTCTCCTCCACTGTTCTAATGACCAGCATTGGAATATGCTGCTTGCCCCTGCCTAATCTTCAATCTCTAAAATGAACAACTGTTCATTTCTATCAATGTAATTACTTAATGACATGTATTTTCCTTTGAGGTCACATAATTGATTGTAATATTTGAAATTCTTGCTTAAAAATGGATCTGTCCTGTTATGGCAATCAAATTACACTCAATTCTTGAAGACAGGGTCTACTTACTCATGTAGCTCATGCTACTATGAATAAACCATTAGGCATGCTGAAGAATAACTGGCATAAAGCCAAGAGAGACAAGATGACAGGTGTGCGCCAATGCAACCTAATGCATTTGAATTAATATTCTAAACCTACATTTCCCATGGACAGTGAATGGACTTGATTTTTTTTTTTAGCTCCAGTTTTGCCAAGTACAAATAAATCATGTAAATAGTTTACCTGATTTGTTGAATTAGTCATGCAGTTAAACTCTAAGCAGCATCAACTGCAGTCCCAATTATTTGTAAGCACAATAGCACAATATTGGCTTCTAACAAAATGTAACTGTGAAAGAGGTTTCTGAAATTCATGTAGAAAGTGTATCATTTTAATATGTTATCGTTAATGTTACTATATCAATGGTATATGATCATAGAATCCCAGGGTTGGAAGAGACTTCAGGAGGTGAAGCCAGTAAGTTTAGTGACACAGTCCTTTAGATTTGTAAGGAATGGTAATATTTTGACCCCTCAAGCATGCTTCTTCCCATATTTGCTGTTGCTATATATATTTCCAGTTCATTTTGGTAGAAGCTGGAAACCAGTTCCACCAGGCAACCAAAAAGATAATTTTTGTCATTAAAATAGTGCACTTTCCATGGGAAATGTAGGTTTAGAATATTAATTCAAATGCATTAGGTTGCATTGGAAGACATCTGTCTTGTCTCTTTTGGCTTTATGCCAGTTATTCTTCAGCATGCCTAATGGTTTATTCATAGCCGTATGAGCTACATGAGTAAGTAGACCCTGTCTTCAAGAATTGAGAGTAACTTGATTGCCATAACAGGACATCCATTTTTAAGGAAGAATTTCAAATATTATAATCAATTATGTGACCTCAGAGGAAAAGTCATTAAATAATTACATTGATAGAAATATTTACAGTGTGGTGAAATATACCCAACTGGAACATACATTTATATCTGCTCCAGATATGTATTGTGAATCATGAAATTATAAGGTTGTTGTGGAACAGTTAATTAATTCTGTAATAAGTATAAATGATGGTAATAAGGTAAATTACATTTTCTGGTTGCTGCCCTCTAAGGCCATGTCTACTCTAGGAAACTATTTCATAATAACTAACTTCGACTTAACTCCCAATTTTTTCTGTGTCCCCACTTATGGGGAAGCTTCAAAATTAGTCTGAGGAAGGCTCCATTAATGTGGACACGCTACCTCGACTTACAGCCCCAGTAATCACTCGAATTACTATTGCTATTAGTTCAAATTACTCTGGGGAGTAGTTATTTCGAAACAGCAGCACAGGAGCATCCACACTAACACTATTTTGAAATAACTATTTCAGAATTAGTATTATTCCCCGAGAAAAGCAAAAGTACAAATTTCAAAATAAGTAGCCCCTTATTTAGAAATAACAGGCTCCACTTATAAATTTGACCTAAGGGAGATTATTTTGAAATAAAGCCCTAGAGTAGACCAGGGCTATATGGTCTTTTTATTCTGAATGTTTATTCTGAATGCTGAAGATATTCTTACTTTCTCGTTATACTATAGTTGAGTGAGCGTATAACTTGGTTTTTTTTCCTCCTCAGATGCTTTTATTAATTGCATTACTTTAAAAGCTCACTGCAGGATTTTCAGTCTTAAATTAGTATGATGACAACATGAGAGCAGATTATAAAATGGTACAGTTTGTCCTTTAGGGAGTGGATAACACTGTTTTTGCCCTGTGATAAATCCTGTTATTATAGGACTCTGTAATCATTTAAATCTCTTCAGGGAAAAACATGTTTTTGTTAAGTATGAGGAAATATTTTAAGTCCATGTGTGGGAAGCAGTTTGTAAGATAGTGGGTAGTGAATTTACATTTGTGCTCACTGTACATGCATTTAGTGTTGTCACATATTTCCTTGATTTAGTGTAAACCAGTGAAAATTAAGTTTCTAGTTCATAGTAAATACCTGCTAACATTGCCTTATTTTTGTTAAATAGAAATCAAATGTAAAATTATACAAATTCATAACATAGCAATATTGACAAATACCAAGATCTTCAGCATCAAGGTTGTGATTTTTTTTTTTTTTTAAATCAAGACCTGCATATTCTCTTTGCAGTTTTCTCTAATGTGGGCTATTCATTTCTTTGACTACAATACAAATTGTTACGTCTTAGAATATTGTGAGTAGGACACAATTCATGAATGAGTTAAGGTCACACTAGATGCAGAATGTCAATTCTGACCACTCATTCTGTGCAGCTTTGAAGTTTGGGCTGGATTCAGCATCACTGTACAATGACAATTCTCTTTAGAGCAGTGGTCTTCAACCTTTTTACACCCAAGATCACTTTTTAAATGACAGACCAAGCCAAGATTTACTGCCCCGCCCCTTCCTTGAAGCCCCGCCCTCTCTATTCTCCTCATCTCCATCACTTGCTATCCCCAATCCTTATACTGCTACTTTAAAAAAAAAAATCCCACCATTTCTCGCAGCTACTCACCTGTGCTGTTGCTCAGTGAGTAGCTGCTCCTCAAATGAGGAAATCTAATGTAAATGTACTGCGCAGGTGCACAGTTCAGAGAGGGCTCAAGAGCTACTCTTAGAGCCTCCGAGATCTACCGGTAGATCGCGATCTACTGGTTGGTGACCATGGTTTTAGAGTCAAGTTTTTTAGACACACATATGGACAGTGTAATCATCTGTGTCATTCTCTAGATTGCTAGAAGGTCATTGTGCTTGTTTATAACATTCTGCCTTTCAGTTACTTTACTGTGATCTATCAGTTAAGAATAAACTCTGCTTACTAAACATCAAGTACAGGTTGAGCCTCTCTCAACCAGGGCTCCCTGATCTGGCAACATTGGACCACAGATGTTGCTGGACCAAAGAGACCCAATCGAGGGCCAGACACAGGAGCCCTGCGGGAGCTGGGAACCCAACCAAGCTGGCTGCAGGAGGGCCAGTGGCTGGGAGCCCTCTGCAGGAGTCCAGCTGAGCTGGTAGCAGGGTGGCCGGAATGCCGGTGGGCTCCGGAAGGGCAGTGGTTGGCTGCAGTGGAACCACATGCCTCAGCATTAGGGCCAATGCTGCCCCAGTAGGGCTGATGGGGTCAGGAACCCTGGTGACTGAACAGCAGTCTGCTGTGGGTGAGGGGTGTGGGGCTGGAACAGGAGTTGGCAGGGCCGGTGCTGCCAAAGCAGGGCTGGTGGGGCAGCAGGGCAGTGGTTTGCCATGACACAGCTGAGATCCCCAATGGTGGGAATGTGGGCTGCTGTGGCAGGGCACCACGGCTGGTCGCATGTGAGAAGCCAGCCAGAAAGCCAGGCCAGGAGCAGTGCTGGGCTGAGACCAGTGGGGGGGGCAGAAATGACTATTGTCCCCTTGTCCAGCAAAATCCCTCCTTCAGGACCATGCAGATCCCGAGGGAGCTGGACCAGGGAGGTCCAACCTGTCTTACATAACAGTTTGTGTGTTCTATAAAACAGTAGTGATTATATACATTACTGCTGTCCACGCTAAATGCTTTGTGTTTGTGTAGGGGTATTTACTTACTCTTTGTCTCTGAACCCCCCCACCCCGTCCTGAGTAGTTATGTCATTATTCCGGATTGTTCAGATTCCTGTGCCTTAACAGTCTTCAGAGAAAGCTGATTGTTTGATAGTGACAGAACTGATTATAAGATCAGAAGGTGATATACAATGTGCGCGCACATACACGCAATCTATCTGGAGGGGGCGGAGAATAGTAGTGATTTTTGCATGAACACACACAGCCTATGTAGTATTTAGTGGGTGAATAATAGTGAAGCAAGCAGCAGTTGCTTCCTGCTGTATATAAATTATGGATCACTTACTTGACAAGAATTTGTGCCTTTTTTTTTTTTTTGTAAAGATACTTGCTTTCCCTGCATTTTTTTACTTTTTCCCGGGGTCCGCACTACTTGCAGCTGAGATGCCAAACCCTACTGTAGTTTGGATTTGCGCAATATTACTTAATGCCCAGAGCTCATCCATAAATAGTTCTGCTCTCCCCACGCCCAGCTAGAAAACAAACCACAGGAAATCAGGGCATGTGCAGATAGCACAGCTTAGCTGGCACTAATTGATCTGAGCCTGCACAGCCTGCATGAGAACATTCGTGAATGGGTCCTGCTCTTTCCAGAGCTGCTGCTGCTTCAGGAGCAGCAACAGCTGCTTTTTAAAGACACCACGTTGCTACTGTAGCCTCAGCAACAACGAGCATTTTTGTTGACACCAAAGAGATTTTTTCCTTTAAAAACTCACACCCCTCCTCCTCCAGCCTTGTTCTTCTCAATCAGTGATTAGAGACTTTTTCAGCTACATGTGCTTGTTGGGACAGTAGCTCCTTCTGGCTTTCTGGAAAAGTTCAAGGAAAGCAGATGGACGGATGTTTTTGCCAGTATGAGTGACCAATTAGCATTTCAGGGTCACTGAGCAGGGCATTTTTAGCTTCCACTGAGCTGGAAGCGTTGTGGACTGTTTGGTTTTGATCATGTAGCTTAAAGGAACACACTTATTGCTGCAGCTGCAGGAGCTTTTTTTCCCCCTCCCTCTGAGAATTATTTTTTTTAATTTAAAATTTTTGGTGGATGTTTGGCATTATAGCAGATTTCGAGCATGAAGATTCAGGAGCACCCGAGCATTCCTGAAACTAAATTTCAGAGGAACCAAGATGCTGATGGTCAGGAAGATAGCTTCGTCTCAGAAGTGCCTCGGCTGGACTTGACAGCATTGTGCGATGACAACAACTGGGAAGGTACAGTTGTGTACTTTTTGGTATGACACAGAAAGAGTGAGTGAGGGAAACATGATTAGGGTGGGTGTGTCTTTGGGTTTATAGTGCCTGGCCAAAACGTATTTTGATCTGGATACAGAAGTGGAAGTCTGGAGAAACTTGAAAATGGAATATTAGATTGTTTTTTAAGTCTGATTTTAACTTAAGGAAAGGAGGAGAAATGTGTTTGATCCTTTGTTACAATGAATGTGCCTTTTGATTAAGAATTATTCTTTTCATGGATCCCATTCAAGCAAAATTTAGTATTTTATAGACAAAAGGGAATTTCCTGCTTTCTCCCTGTGCTCTGCTCCCACCCTATATAGATACCAAAATCAGGAATAAGACTGTCTGTTAATGGTCCTTAGAGACAGGCTTCCCTAGACTGTGGTCTACTCCATGAAGAATTCCATTCACCAATCAAAGGGATACTTGAATTGCAAGCAACTTAATATCTTAATGTTGTGTCTTAGTTTGGTTTTCCAGTGTTGTTTTTCACTTACTTTAACAAGTCACATATAGTTAGGTGCACACAATGATCTTTTCAGTACAGGCAGTCCCCGGGTTACATGGATTCGACTTACAACGGATCCCTACTTACAAACGGGGTGAGGCAACCCCGCACTAGCTGCTTCCCCCCAGCAGACCAGGGAGACGCGAAGCTAGCACCCCCCTCCCCAGCAGACCAGGGAGACGCGGAGCGGCTTCTCTCAGCAGACACCTCAGCTTGAGAATAAAGGACTGAGGAAAGTGAAGTGTTGGAGAATAAAACTGAGCTCTGGAGAAATGTTTGGCTAGAGTTTCCCCTACAATATGTACCAGTTCCGACTTACATACAAATTCAACTTAAGAACAAACCTACTGTCCCTATCTTGTATGTAACCCAGGGACTGCCTGTATAGCATTTAGCAGAGACTAATGCAGGAGTTTTGTTTATTGTTCACATTGCATGTTAAATATACACTGAAATGGTACTCCTGGGTAATTTAAACAGTACACGCAGCATGTTTGTGAGAAAGGGATCAACTTAATTATAATTAGCATTCTCCTGTCAGCAAAATGGCCAGGCCTTCTGATCTATCCCAGAGATGTGCAAAGTGCTAAGAAAAAAACACTTTTTAAAAACGCATATTGTTGAATTGCACATTTTGGGCCGAATACTGCAAGATGCTGAGCAACTCCACTGCCACTGACATAAAGAGAAATTGAACACATTCAGCATCTTTCAGGATCAGATCATTATGATGCCTTTCTCTAGAGTGCACGTGAGTATGCTTTTGTGGTTAGTCCTAAAACTTAGCTTGGCTCTTAATATAGAAAAAGGAGAGGGAGAGGAAGGGTAGGGTAGGGGAGGGCGCCTGGATCTGCTACTCTGAAAAACAAAACCTGTGAGTAGCATGACATGTTGAGGATGGCCACAGACCCGGCCTTAGGGCAAGGTGAACACGATGGGTGCCTGGGGTCCTGTGCCTTCAAGGCCCACGCTGCCCTGCACCTGCCTTCCCAGCTACTTGCTTGTTGCCCTGGCTGGGAACTGCCTGGCCACAGGGCGCAGCTACTGTGAGTGTGCCACATGGGGCCCTGCAAACTCTTTGGCCGGGCTTGAATGAGCAGGTTCTTTGTTCCTAGTTCCACGGGGTACGTGACACATGTTCTTGTCCCTTCCATGTAAGAGGGACTTGTGATGACAGTGTGGCATTGGGAAGACCAAACCATTAGCAGTGAGTGTCCTGATTCAAAGTTAGGCCACCAGCTACTTTCAGTAGAATTGAATTTCTCCACCCACACCTCCAGGCTGGGAATTACCTAGATGATATCAACATGTACAGCACATCTAATTAAAGTGCAACATGTTCCGCAAAGAAATTTCTCAAGAGACCTCTGATTCATTATATTTAGTTGGGATTCTAATTTGCCATAACCTGAAGTGTTTGGACAAGCATAGAAGTGTTTGTGTTTTCAAAGGTGATAGAGGCAAGAGTCTTCCCTTTGTATTCTACTGTCACTTGAACCTTTTGAAATGAAGATTATTTTCTTTCCTTGATGTCTGTGCATAACTTCCATTGACATGAACAGAGTCGTAAGTACATCAAGGGGAGAATAGACCAATTAGCCCATCTCCCAGAAACTGACCCGTCACATGATATATGCTTTAGCTCCAATATAACAAACTCTTCTGGAGAAGCTTTTCCTTGCATGTAGACTCTGGACCTTTTTCATAAAAATGGAAAGGGTATGCGATTATCTTTAAAAAACACTTATTTCAATCTGTTTGTCATCTTCTTGCCTGTTTAAAATGCATATGTGATGGAAGAGAAGGTTTGCAAAAGGGATAGCTGGAGCATAGGAGAGATGTATCAGTTTTCTCCACATGTCACTTTTATAGTCGCAGTGCAAGTGCAGCAAAATGGTGTCTTCTGTGTCTTGGTGGACAACAGATGATGAACCTATTTCAGCTGTCAACGTGCAGTGAGTCTGGCAGTTGAAGGAGGAAGATGCTAACTCAAACTTATACATAACTTCCACATCTAGAGCGAGATTCTCTGAGATGGCCCATCAGTCACTGCTCACAAACATGAGTAAGGAGTGACAGTCTGCCCCCTATTCTTACAGTCTGGGCAGTCTGACCCGTGTGACAATGTGCATCCCTGAATTGTTCTGTCGGCTTAAAGCCTAACTATATTTAGATTCTATGCTGGAAGAATTTGGGGAGGTGCAATGTGCCCCTCCCCCCATGTACACACAGCTGGAGTAGCACCTGCAAATCTCAAAATCTGCATAAAAACAGTCTGTAGCTCCTGACATGGGCCCTCCCTGGATTTCCCCCATGTATCTGGTGCACAGACCAGTTTTGTGGTATGTAGAGTGTGCACAGTCACTCTGGTGCAGCCTCTGCAGTGCTTAGGGCCTGCAGGGCCTTGCACTTGCCCTTTGCACCAGAGTGAATTTCACTGTGGTGCCCATAAGCAGTGACAGAAATGCCATGGTTTAGTGGGATACATTCAGTTGATTCAAATGGAGCATGTTTTATTCTGTCAGAGTAAACTAGACTGTTCACAGGGTGAACTAGACTGTTTCTGCATTCAGTGTTAAGATGAGGCACAGATAAAATGCATTTCACAAAGAGCAATGGTGGCTTATCTTAGCTGCCTGTAAATTGCAGGCTACCCTAGCAGTAGGGTACAGAACCCGAGTCAGTGAGTCAGTGCAGGCTGACAACGAATAAAGCAGAGTTTTTCTAGAACTGCTCCCATCACAAAAGGATTTTAATCTAATTGTTGTGGATCACATTTGGATCAAACTTCCAGGAGTGGAAGGTACACTCTGCTGCTTTCATAGTCTAACACTGCATTGCAAAATTACCACAAATATTTACTAGCTCAGGCCCCAAACCTATTCTCCTACCCTTTACCACAATGAAAATGATAGTGAAAACAGCTGATGCTATATAATGTTCCCAGTGCCTGGAGCTAGACATTTTTTTTAAATGAGAGAGTGGAATATTGCATAGGGGGAAATGAAATATTGTTGGAGTGGCAAAGCAAATTGTCTGTCTCCCAGTTTTCTGTCTACTTTGCCTTATTTATCTAGCATCTTTTACTGGTGTAGAAAGAATATTTTTCTTCTTTTGGAATAATTCATTCCAAATTGAGAAATAGTTTGGGACCTCAAAAAGCAGGAAAGCTTGTTTTTCTTTCCCAGATTATGAACAAACAGGAAAATGAAGGTGAAAAAGTTGGAGTTAGCTTTAGAATATCTGAAGTTTCTTATGTTGACCTGGCTGATGCAGTTGCTTTAATTTTTGTTTTTCTAAAACAAATATTTAACTATTTTAGTTTAAAACAATGTTAAGAAAAACAAACTTGATTTTAAAAAACTTGAAGGTTTAACTAAATTCAAAAATTTCATATGCTTGTTTTGTTAAAATATATTTACTATTGAAGAAAAAAATCTTGAATACATAATGTTTTAGTTAAATAAAATAATTTAAATGTCTGTCTGGTGATGTTTTGCTTCTAGTACAGCATGGCAAGTGTAAATCCTCCAAATATTAATGGTTAATCTGTTGAATTGGAGCTAGTTCATTGCCCAGTGACTTCATAATATAAGCTTCATTTATCCTGGGGTAAATGAGACCACTAACCAATCATTCATTTTCACAGTATCAGAGAGAGATTCTGGAAAACAAATCTGAAAAGTTTTCAAAGGAAATCAGTTTAAAATGTATAGTGTGTACTTCTAAAAATGAAACCTACATTTGTCTCTGAGTTATGAAGAATATGTATTCTAAAAAAAAAAAAAAAAAAAAGATTAAATTGAGTCTCCAGGACTAGTGATTTTAAATCCTCATTTAAATCGATTTGATTTAAAATCAAATCCACCCTGAACCAAAGTAACAATCAGCATTGATTTGTCAAGAAGAAATCTTGTCATGTCAACTTGATTGCTTTTTTGACAGGGTAACAAGCCTTGTGGTTGGGGGTAAGTAGTAGATGTGGTATATGTAGACATTAGTAAAGCTTTTGATACAGTCTCACATGATCTTCTCACAGACAAACTAGGGAATTACAGCCTAGATGGAGCTACTATAACGTGAAGTTCCACGGGGATCAGTTCTGGGACTGGTTCTATTCAATATCTTGATCAGTGATTTGGATAATGGCATAGAAAGTACATTTATAAAGTTTGTGGGTGATACTAAGCTGGGAGATATTGCAAGTGCTTTGGAAGACAGGATGGAGAGAGGCTGTTTACAGTAGTGATGGATGACAACAAGGAGCAATGGTTTCAAGTTGTAGTTGGGGGGGTCTAGGTTGGATATTAGGAAAAGCTATTTCACTAGGAGGGTAGTGAAGCACTGGAATAAGTTACCTAGAGAGGTGGTGGAATCTCCATCCCTAGAGGTTTTTAAAGTCTCGGCTTGACAAAGCCCTGGCTGGGTTGGTTTAGTTGGTATTGGTCCTGCCTTGGCTAGGGGGCTTAACTCGAAGACTCCTGAGGTCCCTTCCAGCCCTATAGAATCATAGGACTGGAAGGGACCTCAAGAGGTCATCGAGTCCAGCCCCCCACCCTCAAGGCAGGACCAAGCTCCGTCTACACCATCCCTGACAGATGTCTATCTAACCTGTTCTTAAATATCTCCAGAGAGGGAGATTCCACCACCTCCCTTGGCAATTTATTCCAATATTTGACCACCCTGACAGTTAGGAATTTTTTCCTAATGTCCAATCTAAACCTCCCCTGCTGCACTTTAAGCCCATTACTCCTTGTCTTGTCCTCAGAAACCAAGAGGAACAAATTTTCTCCTTCCTCCTTGTGACACCCTCTTAGATATTTGAAAACCGCTATCATGTCCCCCCTTAATCTTCTTTTTTCCAAACTAAACAAGCCCAGTTCATGAAGCCTGGCTTCATAGGTCATGTTCTCTAGACCTTTAATCATTCTTGTTGCTCTTCTCTGTACCCTAGATTCTCTGTATCAGAGGCAGCAAGGGCAGGCAGCTCTTACTACATTTCAAAGGCAGAGGCACAGCCAGGACAGCAAGCACCCCACTTCCCCCTTATTGACTAATCAAGTAGTTGATGGAATTTCCATCAACTACTTGATTTGCTGATTAATAAAAATATAACACATTTAGTATTAATACCACCTACTATTACTTCAGGAGTGACTTAACTTTCTGGGAGCAGCATCTGTCATTGAGGCTGAAGAGTGCAATTTCCACGCTGACTGATCCCATGCCATTTAGCCTTTGATGCAGAATAATGTAAAACACTTTATACCCCAGTTAGTACTGAATTTAATAGTCTCATGTATTCAGGAATGTGGAGGAATGTGAAGTACCTTAAACCTATTGAGCCATGCAGTTTTACAAGAGAACAGGAATTTGGAAATGTAACATTATGCAGTAAATGGAAGTGCTATTTTTTTAAAAATTTCCATGAGTAAAAAAGGCCAATCTCTCTAACTGGTATAAGATCAAAATCAGAGACTGTATCCATAGAATGCAAATGACACTACAGCAGTTTTCAGGCCCATTCCAATGATTCAGCATTCACTATTTGATGGTTTTTTATAACTTTTTGTTGTTTGACTTCAGGACTTCTTGTTAGAATTACAGGTTCAAAGCACAGCTCTTAAATCATCTAATCCTGTGGTGCTAAGTAGGAGCATGCAAACCGGCTTAGTCAACTATCTGAACGAGAATGTTAGAACCCTTATGGCATCTGGACAGACTGATCATGAGATTGAGATGATTCTTTTCAGTTTGTTCCAGTATGCTAATCAGCATTCTCCAAAAGGATTTCCCTTTCTCACATCCTCAGTTCTTTCATTTGTGGTTACTTTCACTTTCAGCCGATTAACTCAACCCAGGGATAGGAGTTCAGATTTATTAACAGCGTGTGAAAGAGACTGGGTGGGTCCTGGTGTCTTTTTAATTTTTAACCTGAGAATAATTGAGCCTGGATGATTTACTATCAATGCTTTTACAGCTGTGGAACGCTAGGCACAGGACTAAGCAGTAAGATATGGGCGACGCCCCAATGAGATAAAAATTTACTTTTAGCCATGACACAGGGAAAGGGATAAGGTAGGGGAAAGAAGAGTGAGTTACAGCAACGTGATCACCTTGTTAATGGTATTTGTGCCTGTCTTGTGAGTCTACTGATTCCTTCTGCATGTACTGTTCTGTAGCCCTGAGCTACCTCCTTTGTACTTGAATATATTCCCAACTTTTCAGTTCCAGGCCCAAAGGACATGGTTTGGACAGTAAAGGGAGAAGGTGCTGTACATTTTTTTTTGGTCTGTTTGAATCAATGAGCAGTGATGACTGGCTAGATTTAATGCTTAGTTCTCCACTGCCTGGCACCTTGTGTAGTCATTGGCACCTGGCTAGAGTGCTTCCATTCTGACATTTCACACTCATTCTGCACTCACTTTGCACACAGATAAATGATAACCATGGGTGCCATCAGGCTCTCTCCCTAAAGGTTGAGAAGAATATGGTTTTAAAATAGGGATTTCATTGTGCAGACGACAACATGATTAACCGTTATACCTAGGTTTAACAGTTAATCTTGTTGACTGCATACATGTTCTCCTGCCTCCTGCTGCCTCTGCATCAGAGGCAGCAAGGGGAGAGGGGGAGGGGGAGCAGGAGCTGATGACAGTGAGAAGTTGTCTTCAAAGCTGGCTTCCCATGAGCACCAGATTTGCCTGTGAGGTGAGGGTGTTAGGCCGGAGCCCCATACATGAGGGGAGATGGCTTTCAAGACAGTTTCCCCCTAGCACCAGCTTAAAAGATGGTTTCCCCCAGCACTAGCACTAGTGCCATCTGCCTTCCTCTCCGCCCTCCTACCTCTATCAGAGGGGCAGCAGAGGCTGGGCAAAATGCATGCAAGCTCTCCCGGACAGAGGAGCAGCCTTTGTCCTTGGAGAGCTTGGACCCCCCCATGGACATGGACCCCCCCATGGACAGGGGCTGCTTGCTGTGGAGCAACCTTTGTCTGAGGAGAGTTTGCGCTCCCCTCCCCCCCGCCTCCCCCCCACAGGGTGGACAGGGGTGGCAGGCAGGCAGTCTGTGCAGGGAGCTGGTTTTTAAAGGCTTCCCTTGTGGACTGACTCTGCCCACTGAGCCACGTTGTTGCCTGATACAGAGGCAGCAGCTCAGGGGGCCCTCTGGGAGCGTAGCTGGAAGTACACTGGCTGCCCCCAGGTACTATCAAATAGCTGTGTAACCGCTATGATTTCATGCAGTTACATGACTATTCAGTTACACAATAGCTAGCGTCCCTAGTTTTTAAAACGGGCCCATGTCTGTGGTGATTATTGAATGCGTTTAGAATAAAGAAAATTGTAAAGCTCGTTTTCATTGAGTTGTTTCAATTAATCTACAGAGCCCGTCCCAGCTTTCTCATCCTGGCAACGAGATGGCCTAGACTCCGATGAAGCTCACTTGTCCCCACAGGCTGGATGTCTAATTCGCCAGCTTCTGGACGAGGACAGTGATCCAATGCTGTCCCCTCGTTTCTATGCCTATGGGCAAAGCCAGCAGTATCTGGATGATACAGAAGTGCCTCCTTCCCCTCCTAACTCTCATTCATTCATGAGGTACGTGGTGGTTTCATATTTGCCATCTGAGCTGCAGGCTTTGCTCCCATGCTGCCCAGTAGTAAAGAATTGCAGTATGGTAATTAACAGCCTCTCATTTATCAAGATAATGCCATGGAGCCTTATGCGTGGTTGGGCTGGTGTTTCCCACCTTCCAAAGCTTCCACATTTTCTAGTGCCGTGATTTCTAGTTCTGGGGTGGCTTCCAGATCCATGTTATTTGTACTTTTAGGATACTAAGGAGGCTGTCACATCTTGCTGTTGAGTGTCTGTCATTACGGAGAGGCAGTGTGATGCAGTGAATACTTGATTGGATTTACAGCATGGTCATTGACTCTGTGTTGCTTTGGAAAAGTCACTTAACTTTATGCGCCCCAGGTTTCTTCCTCTGTGACATAGGAATAATGGTACTTACCTTCCCGTGTAAAAGATTTCAATGTCATCCTCAGATAAGAAGCAGTTTAAGTACTAATTATGATGAAGCCTAGGGTGTGCTGTGGTCAAAACTGTGTTGTGATATCCTATATACTGGTCAATATGTGTTTTTACATGATTTGTAACTTGCCCATAAAAACTTTCATCCCACTGAAATGTGGACTGAGATAAGAAATATTTGTAAATGGAGTATGATAAATCTGGTGGAAACTGTGGCAAGTAATGGAAAAACAAATGTAGTCCCCCCTAGTCCCTATTTTATTACCAGTTCCAGGTCATGCAAGTGTGTACATGTAAAAAAACCACATATATAATTTTTAAAATTCCATCGGAACAATAGCACATAATAGGCTATTAATTTTAGCCCAACTGTAGTTCATCCCAGGTGTTAATGTTCTTATTTTATCCTTTGGGCTAAAGGTTGAGTAATTTGAACTGCTTCAGAAGTATGAAATACCTGGAAGTAGTGAGGCAGAAGTGGAGTTTTTATTCAGAGTTCTTGCTCTTTGGGAAATGTGTTAAACTCTGGACAATGAACAATATAAAAATATTCCCTCACCTTTCTATTAGATGCCCAAACTCTGCTCCCCCAGAGGAAGTGCTGCTTCCTCACCTCCTTTTTTAAACTCTTCAGGAGGGAAGGCCAGTTACCAGTTCTCCATCATGTCTTTGGGGTTGGCAAGCTAATTTTCAGGTCTTGTACCTCCTTTTAAAGAGTAAATTGATGGATCTGCTTTCTCCTAAATACCTTGCTTAGTTTCTTCTCAATTGTTTCTTCTGAAATGGTTGGCATACTCGCCTTCAGTCATCTGCAAAGAGACTTGAGTCCCCATTTCTTGAGCTTCAGGGGATAGCCGAGTTAGTCTGTTACAGAAAGAAACAACAAATGGTCTGCTCTTTATAGACTAACAAAACATGTAGATGGTATCATGAGCTTTCGTGGGCACAGCCCACTTCTTCAGATTTCTTGGTCTCCCTGCTTCTGGACTCTAGCCCTTGATCTACCGGTTACATCATGCCTGAATTTGGCTTCATGATGTGCGTGGGTGTTGAATGTACTTACAGTCATGCAGATGTACACTGGCTGCTTGCAAAGGTGTAACTGCATTCTGTGCTCCTAACAGGAGGCGGAGTTCTTCTTTAGGATCTTACGAAGATGACCGAGAGAATCTGACGCCTGCACAGCTGACCCGAAGGATTCAGGGGCTTAAGAAAAAGATAAGGAAGTTTGAGGACAAATTTGAGGAGGAGAGGAAATACAGAGTAAGTTCTTTGGAAATGAGCAAATGTAAGAAAATTAATAGGACTCAAGCTGAGAGGTCTTCAGGGGAGATTTTCAGGTGCAGTCCAAGTACCTGGAAACAAGAGGGAGGTGGAGCTACCGCACAGCCGGTGGAAAGCACATATTCATGTATTAGCACTGCAAAGTGAATTCCTTTTCAAAGCAACAGGTACGGAGAGTGCACACACAAAGTAACCTAATAAATTGCTAGGATTTTTATTAACTGTTTACTAAATAAGCCCAAAACTGGTAACTGTGTGAGAATTGTTATGTTAAAATCTCTTATTTATTCACAATGGGTTGCACACCTTGTTTTAGTGAGGTTTTTGCTCTGGGGAAAGCAGTAACTGCAGAGTTTTCATGTATTCAGGAGAGGAAGAGAGGGCAATTCCTGGTTCCTGCACCCTTGCAAAGTTCTGTGCTGAGCAACACATGTGAACTATACTGCAGTCACTGCTGACATTTTCTTCTGCTGCACAGGATGCATTCTATGGGAGAAAAGTTTCACCCATACCCATGTTTGCTAGTGATCTAAACTCCAGAGGTTAGTTCTGAAACAGTCTTGTCTAAGTTAGGAAAAGTTGGCATCAGACGAGAAGAGTATCCTCCAACCTTGGTTTGGAGCTGTGGTTGATAGCAGTAATGCTTCAGTGTTTCTTTCCACACATGCTTTGCACACATGAATTAACTCTTGCAACACTCCTGCATGTGAGTGCAACACCCCTGCATGAAAACTCATGTCTTACAGGGGGAGAATCTGAGGCAGAAAGTTTTAAGAAAGTAGTCCCAATCTACAGTGACAGTTAAATAGAACTGTGATTGGCAAGCATAAGCTGCTGTCTCTTTCTACTGTGCCCAATTCTCTGCTGTACACAGTAAACCTGTTTTTATACAGCTCTTGGTTTGAAGTTCTCTTTCCACTCCTTTGAGAATGATTTCACTGTGGATTTCTGTTCTCTTCCTCTAGCCTTCCCACAGTGACAAAGCAGCCAACCCAGAGGTGCTGAAATGGACAAATGAACTGGCAAAATTCCGGAAGCAGCTTAAAGGTGAGTAACTGGCAGGGAAAATGACCTAGAATAGGCTTTGATCTGTCTTGAAATGATTCACAGACTTGTTAGGGAAAACTGAAAATATTTTGTTTTTCTATCCCCCTCCCCCAAAAAATCCACCTAGAGTCAAAACTAAAGATATCAGAAGAAGATCTGGTTCCTGTGATGCGCCAGCGGAGCAACACGCTCCCAAAGAGCTTTGGGTCTCAACTTGAGAAGGAAGATGACAAGAAGCAGGATCTGTCTGATAAAGCTGCAAAACCCGCAGTTGAGGTGACCTTAGACTCCATCCAGAAGAAGCTGCAAGAAAAACGAACAGAGACAAACCGGCCTGGGGACATTAAGGTACAATGCATGCAGATCAGATTAGGTGTCAAGATTTCAAATACAGTCTTGTAAAGCACAGCTGTATGACAGCTTCTGAAAACCATGCAAGATCTTGCAAACAGCTCCATTTAGAACCTAGTGACATTGACATAGGTGTAACATGAAACATTTTTAAAGTACAGGCAGTCCCCGGGTTACGTACAAGATAGGGACTGTAGGTTTGTTCTTAAGTTGAATTTGTATGTAAGTCGGAACTGGTACATATTGTAGGGGAAACTCTAGCCAAACATTTCTCCAGAGCTCAGTTTTATTCTCCTACACCTCACTTCCCTCAGTCCTTTATTCTCAAGCTGAGGTGTCTGCGGAGAAAAGCCGCTCCGCGTCTCCCTGGTCTGCTGGGGGGAAGCAGCTAGTGCGGGGTTGCCTCACCCCGTTGGTAAGTAGGGATCCAATGTAAGTCGGATCCATGTAACCCAGAGACTGCCTGTAGTTTGATTTCTCACCAGAGCACAGTTACATCCATTTTTTCAAATAACCTTTTAATTATGATAATATTGTCTTATTTTTTCTCGCTTGTTTTTCTGTAACCAGGGGATCAAAGTACAGAATTGATTTTCATACTGAATTTCATAATGTATTCCATCCTTTGCTTCTCCCAGGTTCCAAGAAATGTTTAGCGTGCTTTTGTTTGTAGATTCCCCTTTCCCATGTTGCGATTTCCCTATCTTCTCTTTTGGTGGGAAAGCTTTAGCAAATCATGTGGGTCTTCTCACATTTTCTGAGGATGGGCATGCTTTCGATTAGCCTTATTTTTCTTGGTAGCTTGTTCAAAGTCCATCACCCTGTCTCAGAGGACTTTTGTTTCCACTCTTTAAGAGTTTCATATCTGGCCCTGTTAGCCACATGGTTGTCTCTGAAGGTGATTAGCAGAGAGGCAGTCTGTATCTGAGGGAACGAGTTCCTGAAATGTTGATAGCTTTGTACATTAAGGCCTTGTGCACTGACATGTCAACTAAGCACAACCTTTTTTGAAAAATAAAAATGTCATCCTGGAAAATGTTTTTAGGGAAGGTGCAGACAGAATTCTCTCATCACTTTGGATTTGGAGGAGAAAAAGCTGCAAGTTGAGAGATGTGAGGCCTCCTGTAATATTAGGCGCAGGGACAGGGGAATGGCTGGTGTATGGTGTTGCATTTGAAGGGAAAGTATCTTGTAAAAGACTTAACGCTGTCAAGACCTCTTATAGCAGATAAAATAATAAACCTTGATGATTATGTAGCACTTCCTATTTTCAAAGCACCATAAAAACGAATGAATCCCTTTGATGAACCCACAAGCCCTTACTGCTCAAATCTAAATGTCATTAGTTGTAATCTGTTGCCATAGCACATAATGTGGACTTCTTATGGAAGTTATTTTTTAAAGTGCATCACAGGGTAAGGGCTTTGGGGATGTAGTGGCAAGTATTTCAGTCTTCATTGAAAAATAATATGGCTTATTCTTTCAAACCATGGTCTGGACATGGATAAAGCTACAACTCAGTGTTCCGAATGTAAAAGTATGACTTGTTTTCCTCTTTCCCCTCCTTTCATCTTTTATATAGGACATGACTAGAGATCAGATAGCAGCTGAGAAAGTAGCTCTTCAGAAAGCACTCTTGTATTATGAAAGCATTCATGGAAGACCGGTATGTAAAGCGGCACTCATGTGAAACAGTTGCTTGAATTATCTTTGCTTGTGGTAATTAACCACCACCTTAAAAGTATACTAAACACCCCCACTTGTGGGGGGAGAACTGGGGCTGTCAACACCCAGAGAGAGGGGTTGACAAGTGTAGCAAGCAGGGGGCTTAGCCCACTAAGTTAAGAAAGCCACAGTCCGTTTACTCAGTGCAATGTTCAGAATGTGAGTGCAATGTTCTGATAAGTGCTTTTAGCCTTGCATTAACTGCTGCCGTTAGTGTATGTCGAAGCAACTGGTTCCTGATTATGGTTGGTATTCCCAAGCCTTGCAGTAGTGGAGGCTGGCTGGATGTAAAGGGAAACTCATTTGTGACATTTCAACTGGTTCCTGATTATGGTTGGTATTGCAGTAGTGGAGACTGGCTGGATGTAAAGGAAAATTCATTTGTGACATTAAAGGTATGAGTGTGAGTAAAGTCATTTGGCACCTTTTTCTGAGACTGTTGTAACAATCATTTAAACACTGCAAAGCTCTGGTAAATGCTAAAGTTTTCTAGTTCCATTGCACCTGCCCTCTGCTGCCAATGTATCAGAAGGTGCGAAATTGACACATTCTCTTTCCTCTTCAGTGTGCTGTAGCATTGCAGTCCCTGATCCCATCCTCCACCTCATGCCTGAAATATTTGCTTGTCCGCCTATTGTTCTAAAATAATTTATTTTAATTTCTCCCTCCAAACCCCAACTACATGGCTGCCCAAAGGCCACGTGATTATTGCCTATATCCTCCCTGGCAGTGCGGCAGTGGGAAGAGCCTCGGCCCGGCCCCTCCTGGGAGAGAGCCAGCGCTGCCTTGGCCCCAACCCTCCAGCAGCCAGAGGAAGAGAGCTGGGCCTGCCATAGCCTCGGCCTGGCCCAATCCCCGGCAGCTGGAGGGGGGGGTAAGAGAGGAGAGAGTCGGGGCTGGCCTGGCCTCACGAGGGTGGGGAATGGTCTCAGCAGGCAAGGGGAGAGAGCCAGAGTAGGCCAGGGTGCCATGCCTCAGCCTGGCTCTCCCCAGTGACCGGGGGGGAGAACTGGGGCTGCCAACCCCAGAGAAAGGTGTTGGCAAGCATAGCAAGCAGGGGGCTCAGCCCCCTAAGTAGACTTTTATTATTGTAGATGGTATCGTGAGGTTTCGTGAGTACGACCTTCTAAGCTCATGATGCCATCTACGTGTTTTGTTAGTCTTTCAGGTACTACTAGATTATTTGTTGTTTTTCCAGTTACAGACTAACTCTGCTACCCTTCTAACACTTTTTTTTATTGTGTAAAGCACAGCCACAAAACTACTCCAGGGATGTGATATCTTTCCTGTCTCCTCTCGAGTCTGGATTCTGCTCTCGCTGTGATTTAAATTGGGGTGATCCTCACTGAAGTTAATGAATAACCCATGTAAAACCAGTGTCAGGGCAGAATCTGGCCTATTGTTATAATGCCATATTTTTCTTTGTTTTCGTAGCATAAAATTTTCTTTATTTTTTTTAATAATCTACTTTTACTAACCAGCAAAACCAAACCTAGCAACAAGGGAGGCTGCAACTAACCAGCTTTCCTGTTTCTAAGGATGGACATTATTGCAATGGAAAAGTGCTCAAAGATCTAGGATAATGTATATAGTTGGGCCAATTTCTTAAAAGAATACGTTCAACTACACAACAAAAATCGGTGGAGCTCAGATTTAGTGTGTAACTGGATCTTCTGCAACAGTGTCACGTGAACCTTCAGAGGGTAAATTCTGAATAAACCAGAGAATCTGTTTTTGCAGAATTCCTAGAGCCACTCTCACAAAGCTATAAATGCTTAAAAGGGGTAACTGAGTTAATCTGTAACTGGAAAAACTTGAAAAACAACAAATAGTCTGGTAGTACCTTAAAGACTAACAAAACATATAGATGGTAACATGAACTTTCATAGGCACAACCAACCCCCTTGTCAGATGACACTAAAGCACTAAATAATCTGTTACTCATTAGCTGCTCTTTGGCACATGGTATGGGTTTGACTAGAAGGAACCTCAAGAGGTCATGTAGTCCAGTCCCCTCTACACTCATAGCAGGACTAAATATTATCGATATCATCATCAGGTGTCTGTCTGACCTGCTCTTAAAAAACTCAGAGTGAGATTTCACCACCTCCTTAGGGTGCATAAATACTGGAATAAATTGCCTGATAGGAAGATTTTCCTAATGTCCAGCCTAAACTGCCTTTGCTACAATGAAAGCCATTCTTCTTCTTCGGGTGATGTCCCCATAAGTGCTCCACTGTTGGTGACGGGTCATCCCAGAGCCGGAGTTCAGAGCTTTTTTTTTTTTAGCAGTTTGTCGGGTTGCGCATGTGCAGAAGGCGGCCAACCCTATAATGAATTGTATTGTTGCTCGTTAGCTTACTCATTCCTATTACCTGTTTAAAAAAAAACACTTTTGTTTCGGAGGGACCAGCGCAGTGGCAGCGGCCCTGCTCTACTCAAAAACACTTTTGTTTCGGAGGGACCAGTGCAGTGGCAGCGGGCCTGCTCTACTCTCATCCTCCAGCTACAGTCGACCTTGTCCTCCTGCTTCTCGTTTTTTTTTCCAGTTAAAAAAAAGGAAACAAGAAAAATACTGGAGAAAGCATAAGAAGAGGTCTTACAGCCACCCCATTGCTTACTGAGCAGCCACCTCACAACACAATGCTGGGCTCACAGGGGTTTAAAAAGGGCCAAGAGTGTAATGACCCTGTGCCCATCTCGGACAGTCACGCATTGTGCATATGCTGTTTGGAGGAGGCACACGGACCCCAAAAAGGTGACCACTGCCGCAGCCTCACAGTAAAGGACAGGGAGTGCCAGCTCCTTGTGATATTGTTTGAAAAGGCTATGCAGCCGACGGAGGAGCCGCAACCATCTCGGCCTCTGGGGGACTCAATTAAGAAAAGGGCTCCTTGCCTCAGAAACACTCTAAGAAAAGAGCCTCCCCTGTGAGGTCACCACTCCCAATCCACCTTCCAGGATGACCAGGGGAGACACTCCCGGCACCTCTGGCATTATGGTGCCAAGATCCTCTACAAGCACCGCTTCTGCGGCAACACACACTACCCCTTGACCAGCACAGTCGTCACTGGCACTGGGAAGGTCACCATGACAAACCTCAGCACTGGCACTTGTGGCATCTCAAGGTCTGGCACTGGACAATGTATCGGAACTGGCAGCAAAACAGCCCTGCAAGTCCTTGGGGCCACCTCCCACTGTGCTGACGCCATCCTCGAAGCCTCCTCCCCCAGAGGCTCCAGTACCAGCACAAAATTCCTCATATGTTGACCATACTGTACCGACCAGAGCTACTTGTGCCTCACTGGCACCTGACGTGAATGACAGGCGCCTTGCTTCCCTCCCCCATTGAGGGAACCCTCTCTGTTGCCGTTTTCACCTTGCACATCTCCAGGCTGTTTCAGATCTCTGCTGCTATATGAATGCATCCGATTTGCTGAGGATGATCAGAGGAAATTTTTTACCTCACAGCACTCCTCTCCAACTACATTCTGTCATTATCACCATTACCGTGAAAGACCCACCACCTGCCATGGTATCTGGAATGGCTATTTCTTCCTCCTCATTATGCACCCCGCTGGGCCCCATGGGAGTACTGGGGATCCCATAGATATTGCTCTATGGCCCTGTCTACTCCAGCAAGGAGGCTTCCACTGGCCTTGCCATCTCACATCCTCCCGACTACAGTTGAGTTGAAGGAAGAGTAGGATCAAATCCCAGACAATCATATCAAAACAAGCTCCAGGGAGCGTGTCTATTAACAGCTTATCTTCATCACCTGATGAAGCTGTAATTCCGGAGGATATGCATGCCACTGGTGATTTTGAAAAATGTCAGGAACTTTTTAAGAGGGTGGCCACCAGCCAAGAAATTCAGCACCAAGTGGTAAAGGAGAAACAGCACTGCCTCCAAAAGAACATCCATCCCCCCTCTCAGGGAAAGATGGCACTACCAATTGACGAGGCCATTATAGAGGTAACCCATGACATTTGACAAACACCATCCTCCATCCTGCCAACTTGTAAAGGAGTTGACAAAGTATTTTGTCCCTTCTGAAGTCTTAGACATAATCCGAACCATCAATACAGATTGACGGGGGGGGCGCATCTGAACCACCATACTGGTCAGGTAAAATGGTCAGTGCACACAAAACCATGTTACACGTCAACCTTCTTGAGCTCAGATCCATCAGGAATGCATGCAAGCACTTTGCTCCCACCATTACCAATTGCACCGTTTGCGTACTCACAGACAATACATGCTTTATATAAACAGGCAGGGTGTGGGGCTCGTTCTCAATCCCTTTGTACGGAAGCAGACTGCCTTCGGAACTGTGCCTCCATCATGGGGTCACCCTAAAAGCATACCTACCTGGTGTCACCAACATCATGGCAGATACTCTGAGGCACAACTTTTCCACAGACCACAAGTGGGAACTGTCTTCTGCCTTTGGGGCTACATATCAATAGACCTCTTTGCAACCTGGAACAATGCCGAGTGTCTCCGTTTCTGTTCCTGGGTGGGACTGGGAAAGGGGTTGATGGGCGATGCATTCCTAATCCTCTGGAACAAACCATTGTATTATGCCTTCCCACCCATCCACTCATCTTGTGCAGAATCCTGCGGATCTGGTCAGACACAGCTAGAGTCATTTTGATAGCTCCATCCTGGTCCACACAGACCTGGTTCCTGTACCTCCAACACATGTCTACCAAACTATCTGCTTCCACACTGACACGACCTCCTCTCCCAGAATCGGGGCAAATTACTTTACTCTCAGCCCCATACTCTTCACCTTCATGCCTGGCCCCTGTCTGGTTCCATGGTGCTGAATCTCTGTGCTCTAAGCAAGTAAGAACCGTTCTCCCCCATAGCAGGAGACCATGCACCAGAACCACTTACCTGAAGAAATGGAAACTGTTTTTCTCCTGCTGCCAACAG